CGATTAAGTTCGATACGACTTTACTTAACACTTATACAGGGCGTTCAAAAAAAAAGCATTTAATATTTATATGGTGTATAGGGCACACTGTACTTGTATAAAAAAGCTTTAGTAAACATTGGTCCAAAGGTCAACCGTTTCTGAGATATAAACATTTTTGTTTGCTAGTATCATGAGAGAGCACTTAACACGGTGTTCGGTCAAAGGTGGATTGGACGTGGTAGACCAGTTGGGTGTCCTCCTCGATCCCCCGATTGAAATCCTCTGGACTTCATTTTATGGGTATATTTAAAAAGCCAAGTGTATTTCACGCCGATAAATGACTTAGAAGAACTACGTAACGGAATCCATTATGCTTGTCAAATAATTCGACAGAAATGTGGGATTTTCGAGAGAGTTCGCGACTCTGTAAGAAGAAGATGCCAAGTGTCTACAGAAATGAGCGGAGGACACGTGGAAAATCTTCTATAAATATCGAAAACCCAGTAATAAGTCAATCATGATACTAGCAAACAAAAATGTTTATATCTCAGAAACGGTTGACCTTTGGACCTATGTTTACTAAAGCTTTTTTACTCAATACAGTGTGCCCTATACACCATATAAATATTGAATGCTTTTTTTTTACCACCCTGTATACTTCGAACATCTATTCCACTGTAACTTGGGTTTCCACTAAAGTACAACAAAAATTAATTCTAGATGAATTCATGAAGTTTGGTGAAGTTACAAAAGGAAATGCTACGAAAAATGTTATACTTGGAACTCTCAACAGTCTCAAAACGAAACTTCAGCTTCGTAGAACTTCTATAAAAATGAGTTTGATAGTCGACATTTCAGTGGGTTTGAGCAGCAAATTAAGCTCTTTATTACGAGCAACACGACTTTTTTCATTCATTAACTTTGTTCGCGTCGCGTGGAACAATTTATTCTACCGTAACTTGGAAAATACTGGTCCACGCGATGTTCAGGAGTTCGAAGACTATTTGTTTCATTGAAATAACTGCTCGAATCATCCCTTGCGTGACGCCGTTTCGCGATCATTTTCCCGCCACGTACAAAGGAACTCTCGCCACGAGATGCAACAAATGGGGCGATAGTTTATCTCGTAAGACATTACGCTGCCAAGTGCTTCGTTCGCACGTATTTCATCCCGTTTACAACCACATCTACCCGGTCCACTGCTTATTTCCGGAATTTCGCTGACCCTCTGAACACTCTGAACACGAACATCGGATAATATTTAGCTCGTTTCTTTTTCGTTTACTTTTCGTCGCCGTGCCTCCTCTCGTAATTTTGTTATTTCCCTAAAAAATGATCTTCGCCACAATTACTTTAACTTCTAACGTTATCTGTACTTTATGTTAAACCAGTAAAAGAAAATTGTCTAACTTTTGAGACGTTTGATCGCATTCAGTCCAATTTGTACTTTTTTTTGTGTGTCCAAATTGACCGCGAGAACAACACAGAATTTTTCGAATGTATCAAAAATATTATGAATCTTCCAACTAAAACTTGAAACTAAAATTAAAATGAAATAAAAGTGATGTACATTTTATTTAATTTAACTTTTAGCTAATTTTTATAAACAAATTATGAAAATATTATATGTATTATATAAAGAATTACTACATGTCGTAGTGAGCTTTACTCTGGAATTAAATGGAACAGAAACAAATTTTATATCGATTTCACTATTTTCAGCACGTTAGGTAATAAGTACGTGTTCCCCTTATATAACATTAGCGTGGTACAATGTTCGATTACACTTTTTTTTAAAAATTATTCATGCTGTTCTTCTTCTTTCTACATTTCTATTATATCGATACAATTTAACATAATAATTGTAAATCTTTTTGTTCCGTTAATAACCACAGCAATAATTTCAAATGATTTAACTTCGTTATGGTTAGAGTAGTGTTTGTCCATTTTCGATCATGCTGTGATTGAAATATTTGATTCTGCAATAATAACACGATGACAATCTTACGCCTGATGTTTTCATTTTAATTTAACGAATTAAAAAGTTGGTATTGAATTTCCACCTTTTGTTAGAAAGTACTTAACACAATTGACAGTAAACCACTCTTAGAGAACTTTGGAAAAAGTATTTACTCGATAATCTGGACGTTTTGTTACGTTTCGAAATTTCGCGCAGAGATCTTCTTACTTTGCTAATTGTAAGTCGATTACATTACGCGTTTTCTTTTTTTTAATTGCCCTTTCGACTCAGGAATCCGGATGTTTCTGGTTACGATAAATTATTATGTACATTTAAATTCACATGCGTTTCAAATGCTTTATATCGGATGTTTCGTTTGCTCAGACGTGGACGTCAAGGTTTGAATCCAGCACTAAGTGATCGCAACAATTATGCGCTAGCAAAACTCCATTCATCATCAGATGTGATCTATACATTCATGAGTAGACTGCGAATTTTTATGCATTTATAGAAATTCTGAACGTGCAAGAAACTATAGAATGGACATAGTAGCCAATAATATAAAAAATATAGAAAGCAAAGTTCATATTATGATCCTTGTAGAGTAAAATAAATTCCTATTTAGATTCAGTTTTTGTAGGTACGTTTATAAAGACTTTATTTTGCATAAATATCCGCAGTCTATTGGTGAGTTTTGATTGTATGAGAGGTGTTTATAATATGGTAGCTGTTCGACTAATCATACATGTCCCAGTGATCGGACACTTGGCAAAGTATTAATGTGTTAGAAAGACAGAATTTTTTATAAATTCTTTGTGGTTCTACAAACTTAATTTTATTAAAATAAAATTGTCTCTTTTAGAAATAGATTTAGGATGACAATCATAGTAACATACAAACGTTAAATGTACTATGAAATTATATGATGTATCCAATGAAATGATAAACAAATTTTTATTGTGTCTTTCTTCAAATGGCTTTAAAATGACACCTACATTGATATGGATTGAAACGATATTAATGATAAAATTTAAATTATTTCTGAATACAGTGGATGAATTTCTGAACAGTGGACTACGAAATTAAAAAAATAACAACTAAAATTTTAATGTGTTTTTCTTTAAACGATTTTAGAATGACACCTATATTAATATAGCTTGAAACAATATTAGTAAAGTGTATGAATACTGCGAAATTGATTCGACTTTTTTGTTCAATCATTTTATCTTTTACTTCAAAATAAATTGATGCTAATTTTATTTATTTATAACGTTAAAATACGATTGCGTTACAAACGATTATTAAACTTTTGACGTAGCGTGAATTTCAAGAGTCCAATTAATTATTGGATCATCTTTTTACTATCTAATTAAAATAGTTTTCTTCAAATAAAAGTATATTAGGTCCATTTATTTCACCAAATCGAAAATAACAATTTTTGCCAAAAAAGTTTTTGGAAATGAAAGTAGAAAAATCAACGATATACCATTCTTCTAATTAAAATGGATACAACTGAAAAATGTACTTTTCCTCAACCGTCCGATTACTGAGGTAGCTGGCCTGCATTGTTCCTACGAAAAGAAATTGGTTAGCTTACACGTTTATTTTGATTACTATATCGTACGCAAGGAACGCCGATTCTTTCGTAAAATAATACAATACGGCAATGGTTGTTCACCAACTATTCACGAAAAGAATTATTTAAAGCTGTCTCCTTTAGCGATGATATTCCCTTACATTTCCTAACAAATAGTACAGTGTATTAGTTTCCGTTACGTGCATACTTTTTACGCCTTTTCCATCGACAGGCTCACGTATCATTACAACAATGGCAATTTTCTTATCTTCTAGCTAGATATGTTGAGCGGAAATTTTTATTTACAATGCGATTCGATAAGTTCCGAGCAGACCTGGGCACTTTTGAAATGATATTACTTGAAATACTATTTTTAATAATTAATTCTTTTGTAATTGTTGTATTCATTTCATTATGTTAAATTTGTATTCATTATTACTTGAAATAATATTTCAAATAACACGTTATTTTGTTCCATAATTATTTTTGTACATGTAATCATTTTTTAAATAACGTTATGTAAAATGTTATGTCGAATAACATATCATTTCGTATTATAATTATTTTTAATAATTATCAAACTGTTCTTTCAGATTATATCAGGGGAAATCAAAAGAACAGAAGAAGAACACTATAATAAACGTTTTTCTGAATTTTTTGCGACAATATTAAAGGAACTCAGGCAGAAGTCTCTTACAGAAGAACTTTTTGAAGAAACAGCTTTGCTTAAAGCAAATTGCTGTAAGGATAATTTAAAATAAATTCCTTTTAATGCATACTGAGGAACTAAGGAGCTAAATAAATTAATTCTGAGGGATGGGGCGTTAAAGAAAATAAAGGTGGATAAGATTGGAAAATCTGAAAAAGGTTGCAAAAATAAGTACTGCTCCAAATGTTACATTACCGAATATAATTTCTAATTGTATAGAAATACAATTTCATCATCGTAGACATTTTCACAATCATTAATCTGTCAGTCAACGTGCTAAATATTAAATAAAAAAATAATTCGTTATTTGAAATAGCTATTATTTCAAATGCAACAATATCATTCTTATTTTCAAATAACTATATCGAAAGTAACGGTCTGAAATATATTGTTTTAAATAGTTACTTCTTATTTTCATTTCAAAATTAAAATTTGCCCAGGTCTGGTTCCAAGTTATTCATCAACTTTGCTTATCTATTAACGACAATTGTTACAAGTTACTTTCCTTGGTGTACGCTCGATATAAAGTGTAGTAACATACAAAATTATGTATAGTGTTCTATGTATTTACAAATACAGACAACGCAGTCTTCAGCGGGAAAATAATTAGTATCTCGCTGTAAGTAATGGCCAGTGCTTTGGACTCTTTGTCTCCAGCGATTGGTGTTCGAATCTCGGATGGGACTTTGATATTTCTCGCGTCCTTCTTAATCGAATTTAGTGATTAAATAGTCATTATGTTAAATGAAAATGAAATTTGACGAAGAAATGAAGGAAAATAAGATAATTCTCTAGTTTAGTGAATTTTGAATTGAAAATATCATGGATTTTGTGAAGAAGAAAGAGATACAAAGGGATTTTCAAAAGAACCTTTAGGTTTTTGTTTTTTAATAAAAAGATATGCTTATCAGTGTAGTCATGGAGGAAATTTAAACGACATACGGATGCTTAATTCTAATCATGTGTACGTTTACTGAAAATACAACAAATTAGATATATACTATTCTATATTTTTTTTTATTAAAGAACAAAATCCTGAAACCTCTTTTGGAAAATGTTCACCTTAAAAGTTCTAAGGGTGCTTATTTTATCTTTGAACGCCACCTTACATTTAGTATAAAAAGATTTTTCGAATCGTCCGAAATATTAAATACTCAAACCTAAAAAATATCTAAAGAAATAATTTTCAACATTTTTTAAATCTTGCATCGTAATCACTCTCTCAAGAGGAGAAACCAAATATTAAGTGTTTCTTGAGATATTTTGTTTTTATAAAGAATTTATGTAATGTTGCTATAACTTTGAGAATATTTCGTATATGTTTTAAAGTCTATTTGATAATTTTTTCAATTCATTTCGCACAGAAATCTTTGGGATATCATATTTTACTTTTAAACATTTTCTTCAATCTGTAGGAATGATAACTGAAAAATTAATTGACCGATTGTGTTCGAACTTTATATATGTTTACTTTATTTAAATAGCAAAAAGCTGTACAAACAAATGTAGAAAATTGATACTTTTTCTTTAAACACTCCTAAAAAATTCAATGTCCAACTTTTTGATCGAAATTTTGTTGATATTCTTAGTAAACGTGTTCATAATGTAAACAAAAATTTTCATTGATTTTGAGTAACGTTAAGATCTCAGGGAACACTTGATACTTGGACTCCTAATGCGGTCTCCTCCCTTAACCAGTCTTCTTCAATTAACAGATACACGTGAAGATCTATATCAGGACGTTTTTCCCCGTATTTGATAGAATTCATAATTTTGGAGTCTGAAGGAGATTTTTCTCCATCGACTTTGTCTTCATACACTTGGCGAGGAGCGCGATTATCGTCAGAATGGCTCCGAGAAAGGATACGATCCCGAGGACGACGAGGACCATGAACCAGTTCTTGAAGCTCCCAATCCGATCGCCAAAATCGCAGTTGCAGTTTTCACTTTCGTTCAGATTCAACACGGAAAAGTTCACCGGCCTGAGCGAGATTAGTTTGAAGTCGTCCTGAACTTGTCGTCTGGTCGTAAAGTTCTGTACCTTCTTGACGAACTTGTACGATATCGTGTAGGTGAACTCCTGGCCGTCGTACGAGCCCTTAGCGCTGTAATATTGTATCAACAATTCATTTCCGGTGGAGGTGAGAGGAACTTGTATGTTGTTGATGTCCTGATGGGACACGTCGCAGTAAGACCACATCAAGACGCTGTTGTTTGCCTGGAAATTTCATCTCGTTAGACTCGTTTCAAAACACATTCGGGGTCATTCTAACCCTTTGCACTCGAGAGGTGACTCTCAGTCACCACTAGGTTTTCTTTAGGTTTAACCCTTTGCGCTCGAGGCATTTTTCTATAGAATCAAACCCAGGCCATTTTTAGAATAAATTTCTGTAAAACCAGAAACTCTACTTCGAAAAGAAACATCTACGAACATTCACGACTCAATGTATTATTATTTTAATTAATAATTAGCTGTATTCTGATATATGTAAAATTGAAATTGTACGTTCAAAAAAATCACTTTTAAATTACTTGTGTCGCCCTAGAGGCGCCACTCGAGCGCAAAGGGTTAATTTCTTTCGAAATGTCAATAACATGATTGCCGTTGATGCAAAGGTGACCTGATTCTCAAATCTCAAATTAGGGATTTCATTTTCGAAAATAATCTAAGCTTAGCATTCGTGACAATAGAATGGTTAACATAGTAATGGAGTGTAATTAGTTGTGCGTCATTCTAAGCAAAATTTGATGTATGAAGAATACAGGGTGAAGCATTTAAATGTGAAAATCAAAATATCTCCGTTATTTTTGGTTTTATGAAACAAAATAGGACAGAGTTACACTGTTTGAACAGTTTTAAGGGGCCCATGTAATAGTCAGACCATTCTTTTTTCTCAAGGTTATTGGCATTTTTTTTTTTAATGTATTGGGGTATTTTCATTATTGTAATCTTGTTGTTGATTAGAAGAAAAATTCTTCGAATGACCTTGTGAGGAGTTATTCTTATAAAATCATACTCTAACGTACACAGTAAACGTATTATACGTATTTGAATTTGTTTGTTTATCAATTACAAGAATACAATAATGAAAATACCATATTCCATTTAAAGAAAATGCCAATGGCTTTGAAATCTCGAAAAGTATGATCTTGAGGTAATTGTTTCGACTATCATAGTATGATCCGCATCAAACCAGACAATGCTTTTCTCTAACATTTTTTCCTATCACGAAAAGCACGCGAGATATTCAAGGTTGGGTTAGGGTTACCTAATGAATATAAAGTATCGAAAATTCTATGGCGTAAAATAAAGTAACGAAAAATAAGAGAAAGAATCGGATAAGTGCAATACTACGGACGAAAGTAGCTCTGTAGTATTATAAAACACACAAGCAAGTGCAACATCCCGTGTATCAAAGTATTTCGGCTACAAAACAGCAATACAACATTATAAAAATTCCCTCGAAACTAGTCAGAAAAAGAGCCTTATATATTAATATAAAAAAAATTCATTCATTTCTCGACAAAGGAAAGCAAGCTGCAACGCAATCGTGAGCGATCAATTAAAGCACTCTTCCCGACGAATGCTTTAAATGTACAGTGAATAATCTCCTAATTATCATTCAATTATATTTGTCAAGTTTCGACCATAGTTACCTCTATGCCATTGTAAACAGCAATTTCGTTCCCGTGGCAGTAATTCAGCGTAACGTTCCGCTTCTGGGGGAGTTGGTCCTGATCTGGCTCGTTTCTGATTATCTTTATGTGAATGGAGATCTTCTCGGAAGACCTCCCCATGAAAACGTAACTGCAAAGAGTGTTCGGCGGATACCAGCTCTGCAACGACTTGATATTTTCCCTGGTTCGTTCGGTGCTTTTGTAGACGAACTCGCAATTTCTATCGCGTTTCACGCCTGGCGCGTCCTCGGTTTCCTGGACCGACAACTGGAAACCGCCGTGCATTATCGTGCCGTCCTGCTCGGCAAAGAACTCTATAATGATGTTTCTCCCGCGCGAGAGGATTCGCGGCACGTGGCCCTCGCCGCAGAATTTGGAAATTTCGTAAATCTGCCCGTCCACGTCCTCCATCAGAGCGAGGTAATCACCGACGCAACTGGTGCTTCCCAACTTGTCTTCAATGCGGCCCCTCCTCACCTGCCGATACTCGGGAACCTTATCAGAGCGGGAAACGAAACGATTATCTTTTTGTTTTCAACTTGAATCCGCATTGCCTGCTTGTTTCGCGTGCTCGTCTCGAAACGAAACGCTTAATCAATTTGGACGTTGCACGCCGGAAGGAAAACTTTCCTGGAGCTGCGCGAACAAGAGTTCAGTAATTACTGCAACTGGCTCGATTGAAAATCGAAAAGGAAATGTTGCTTGAAAAATGCAAATGAAGAATCTAATATTAGGTGGTAGATATGCTACGCAACAAAATTATTCATCAAAATTTTGCCATTCTTCAAATGCGAACAACTTTGACGCTTTTCATTGCATCGAGACAATTTTTTGTTTATTTTGTAGGTAATTATCTGAAATAGGCTTTATTAAGAATCGAAAGGGAAATGTTGCTTGTAAAATGTAAATGAAGAATTTAATATTAGGTGGTGAATATACTACGCAACAAAATTATTCAAATATGAATAACTCCGTCAATTTTCATTGTATTGAGACAATTTTGTTTAATTTGTAAGTAATTATCTGTACTTTACGAAAACATTAATGCAAAATGGATGGGAGTTGATATCACATCTTCATGTCCTGATAACATCCAAGTACTTTTTTTTTTATTAAAATTTGATTGTTTGACGGGTTACCTAGATTGCACTGATTCTTTTCGGAAATTTAAAAAAAAATGTCTATGATTTTGTTTAAACCGAGTTATGCCATTTGGAAGTTACTTGTACGATTTTCAATATTGCTACTAATTTACTTTAATACACACAAAAATTGTATTCAGTTCATCTGAAAAAGTATTTTTATTCATTGAGGGGTTGAAATAGCTCTTTCAGAAGATTTAAAAATATTCTACGAAGAATGAGTTTGACCTGGATAAATTAAAAATATTTGAGATCGAGAATGTCTTAAGAGAAATGTAAATTTTCAGTAAGATCGATTTTATGTCATCTCCAGATTTAACATGATAACGATAATAACCACAACTCTTGGAAATAGATTAATTTATACAATTTAAGACATCGATATCAACACAGACATTATTAACATCTTCGTGAAATATTGATTTTCAAAGTAGTCTAATTATTATTAGTTTCTACAACAGAGATAGATAAAATAGATGTGAATTTAGAATGATTGTTAAATGATAATATTTTTAATTATGACTAATTGGAAGTAACGGAGGTAATATATTTGAATCACTATGAATTACAAAGTTGTGATTTAATCGCCTATGTGTTTTTCAAGTTTTATTTATCATAACATTAATTAAGTTAACGAAATAAATTTATTAATTTTAGTGAGACAAAGAATGCTTTTCATTTGGCGTAAAATTATCTCGATGTTGCTATTTAGTCATTTAATATTAAAAAAGATATTCATGATGTGCAAAGGATTGAAAGTATTATACCAGATTGTTTGTAACAAATCATTAGTAGAATTTGAGAGTTCAATTGAATTAAAATTTTGAGCAAATTAAATAAAATTGCAGTAGGATGATGTTTGAACAAGAAGTTGCATAAATCATTTCCTCAATAATAATTATTTTCCTAATACACATAATAATTCTATATCTATTTATATCTTTCTTAGAAATAACAACATGTACGCAGGTGTGCATAAATTACATTTTATAATTTTAATTTCTTTTACTTTATCTATGAAATATTCACAGTTTATCGAGACGAACTTTATCATTTATAGAATAATATATTTCGTCGAGGGATTATTTCACTTATTAAGTTTAAAATTGAACGTAAACATGGAAAATGTATTAGATTATTAATTTTGTTATCCTTGGATGTCGATGTTTAATAAAATATTTTAAACAGAACAAAATCCGAATTATGGATTCTTGCATAACGATACTCGTAACATTGTTCATGGGTAACAGGAACGGAATCCATATTTCTGAGGTAATATCAGTTGCTGATATTTCCATTGCATGGGGAAAACTAGCAAAAAGCGAATGGAAAAGGGGAAGGAAGCCAGAGTTATCTATTCTGCCGAAGGAGGAGCAACCCATAAAACAACGCGGACTAAAACTTTGCCAATAATATATTAGGATACTTTACCGCAGCAATCAATAACCAAACGCGATATTCCATATTTATTATTCTGAATCCGCGCCTACTGGCTATTCCCGATGCGAACTGATTCGAGTAATTTTAGAAATTGCAGACTATAATTAGAAAAGAGCACGATTAAAGACTTTTAGTCCGATGAGTCATATTGTTTTAAGAATTACTAAACGAATATAATGTTTTAATAACTCTGAATCTATACTAACTAGATCTGAACTAAATTAATATGATGGCACGAATTCCAGTGGTTTATTTAGTAAAAATAATCCTATTCGGAAATTCGAATGTTTTTTACTGTCGTCAAAATTTATTTGAACGTCATGTGATTTTTTAGGTATGACGTTGAGACTTCAGTAAAGTGCACTGTAATTTTGTATAGCTTTCTTTATAACATATTATGAATGGACTGCGGATGTTTATGCATTTATGGTAAATGAAAATATATATAGCAAATCAACATAAATATACATGTTATACCGTTTAGAAGATAAAACATATTTTCATTTATGTTTTAATTCTTCTTCTGTATTTGTGGAAATTTTATATTATTAATTAATGATTTATTTGCAATAATCTCGATACCATTAGTTACTTCTGCTATTATCATATTTTCAGCACAAATTATAACTCTAAACGTAAACATTAACTTTTTAAATATATCAAAACGACTTGGAGTAATGTAGCTAGTCATGGATATAACAAACTAATAGATTCGATACATAAAAGGTGTGCTGACTTGATTAAAAATAATGGACTTTGGTCAAAGTATTGAAGTAAAACAAAAGATGCATATATATGTTTCGCTCAAAACTCTTCTATGTATATTAAATATATAACTAATGTATATTCGTTTTGATTATTGTAGCCAATGTGTTTAGGATCAGGATGTAATTTTTGTAGTAAACATGTAACCTGACGATAATTAGGTAGTACCAAAGAAAATCCACTTAATTTATATTCTTTACACAAAATAAATAATTTCTGCCTTTGTTCATTTCCGTGTAAATCTTTTGTCCGTTACCGTATCTTCAGAAAACATGGTGTACGAATACTTTCTCGACCCACTGTAAGCACGTAAATAATATTCTCGAAATTACCTCTTGGCCCGCAATCCACGGATTCGTTATCATTCGTTTCATCGCAGAGAAAGGCAATCCCTTGGCCCAGACCAATCGGTTAAGATTCGCCCAAATTCATCCCCGGTAATCTTGGAAACGGTCCAGAGGTATGACCACAAACAAACTTTTTCTAGATCGACTCACCTGCAGCACGGCGGCGTTTTCTTGGCTCAACCACTTCCTGGCAATCTCGTGGCTCCCGTCAGGCAGGATCTTCACGTTCGATATATCTTGCAGATCATGATCGGAATTCCTCTTAGGGCTTATCGAGCCCATGGACTTCTTATGGACGCGCTGCGGGTGACGAAGTCGCTTCTGGATAGATTCGGACCGAGCTCCTTGATCGCGATTGCCCGCGGATAGCCTCGGGCCGCTGTTACCGAGAAAGACATCTGCGGAAGACTGTTCGGTGATCTCTTTCGGACGGCCGTTATTTCTCCGGATATCCTCCTCTGGCTCTTTTCCGCGAGAGCTGCCAGGAGCCTTTGATCCGACGACTTCCTTCTTGACTTTCTTAAGTCTTCTTCGATTATTTCTGCCCCTCCTGAACTTGTGCGACGTTTGCCCAATGATAAATTCCAGTTCCTCCTCGTGATCGGGACTCCTGGCTCGCCGCGCGGTGTTATTTTCCGCCGGATACCGTCCGTCTGATCTGGCGACCCTCGTCTTCGGGACTTCCGCCACGATCTCCACGTGCTGTTCGCAGTTCTCCGTCTGGCAGCTGTCCTGGGACGTGCGGTTCATCAGATCGAAGAGGTCGTCCGGCTGGCCGCCGATTTTAAAACGACCCGCGCTCGACTCCAACGCGATCCTACATCTGATACCCCGCGGATAGACGCCTGGGTAGCCCGGGGACACGAGCTTACAGGATCTTCGATCGTTCCTCACGGCGCATTCCAACGGGCATTCGGACGATAGGGACGGCGAAAAGCCACGGTGACGTTCGACGGCCAGTTGGGCTGGCAGAATCGAAAATTGGGCGGAGAAGATCACGGGATTTTCAGCGGCGAACTTCTCGTCCGAATCCATTATGATCGTTAAATTCGGTCCCTTTCGCAGGATCAATCTACGGGATAATTAAAGCAGAACGTTCAGTCCGGGCACAGGCGGAGCTATTAGCTAGGTGGTTTGGAGAAATGAAACTTTGATTAGATTTAGGCTGATTCCACAAGATTTGAACACTATGATTTTTATAGAAACGAAGCTTTTTTATAGGCATATATTTGTTTATTTAATTGTATTGAATGGGCATTGTATAGTTGTGAGTTTAATGGTTTAAAATGTAGTACTACTAAATTAGTGCTTATGAAATGTATTTTAGACAAATCGTATTTATGTTGATTGCAAAAGTTTGGAACATCTTTTGATTTTTATAGAAATGGTGCTTTTAAATAGACATATATTTGTTTACTTAATTATATTGAATGGGCATTGTATAGCTGTGAGTTTAATGGTTTAAAATGTAGCACTACTAAATTAGTGCATATGAAATGTACTTTAGACAAATGAAACTTTAATCGTATTTATGTTGATTGCAAAAGTTTGAAACACCTTTTGACTTTTACAGAAATTAAGCTTATCTACAGCCACACATTTGTATCAATCAACAATCTACTTCAATACATTCAATAACTACATATTATTCAGGTCTAGCTGTGTGTAGGACTGTGAGATCTACTATGTACTATTAATAGACTGCTGCTGCAAATGTAAAAATATATAAAATATCAATACTAACGTACGTGTTACACCAATTAGAAAATAACACATACTTTTTATTTAAGTTTCAATTCTTTTTCTGTATCTGTGAAAATATGAATTTGTATTAATATCCGCAATCTAACTGTTTGAAATAGCCTTCAAGCAAATGAAGCTTTAATCATGCTTGGTATTTTTATATTTTTTTTTAATTTTTTGTTTTTAAATTCTATACATTTTCCACAAAGAATAATTAATTTAAATATTCCAGATTTCAACAACTTACTGTTCCTAATGCCAGTGAGTTTAATACAGTCTTTAATTACAAATTCTTAGCTATAAGAACATTTGTTTCATATATTGACAATGATTTTAATAATGTTACAAACAAATATAGACAGTAAGTTTAATATAATCCCAGCCTGTTCCAAACTGGAATATTTCGAGGATTTCATAAATAAAAAAAGTTGTTCCAAAAATTCCGAAGAAAAAAATACAATCTTCTCATTCTTAAAGTCTAAATTTAAGCCCCTGCATGGAATAATTATTTATTAAACAGTGCATAATAAACAACAATAAGAGACACCCATAAAACGTCAATTTATAGTAAAATCTTCGCAATAATTGCTATTAACCTCAAAATCGTAAAGAAATAAACATCCTATCGCCTATAACTTGCATTTTCGTTCCGTTGTTAAAGGAATAAGGCTTACTCGTTCGTTTCAATAAATTATACCAATTAGTAAGCTTACTGTCTAAAATGTAATTACACGCTGTACGCCGAAATCGACAACAATCCGTATAAATATTTTAGTAAGGACAGCAAAAGTCGAATGCGAACGGGTAGATTGAAATGAAAGCTAACTGAAATCATGGGTTTACCAGACTGGGAAACATTTACACGCATCGAATCCCGCATACATAAGCGGCTTGGATACACTATGTGTCGAAGAGCAGGCATCTGTTTAATCCATTATCTACCACAGTTACGTACACACATTTGGTTTATAACCTGCTGTGAATACAATTCGCGTCGGTTAATTATTTTTCATTAGCTATACATCAACGGTCTCTTTTATCTATTCAGTGGATTTCGATCGTGTATGTTACAGTACAAACACTCGCGATTCAATAATAATTTACTTTGACATTTACCGATCTTTCTATGATAACGTTTAAACATCGCGTTATCGTCGACGGTAATCATCCGTTATGAATACGAATAATGGAAAAGGAAATGGAGCACGAGATAAAGCCTTTCAAGTGGTTCGATATAGACTAATTACGTAAATTTGTATTTACAATTGTGTCGAGCGCGGTAACAACTAATCGACGATAAAAACGATACTATTAAGGTTGGTTTGAACGACTGAAAAGTCATCGATTTTCTAGAATTTTTGTTATTGAAATTGTACGGAATATTGAAACAAGATTTTCACGTGACATTAAGTAATGCTAAAACTACTTCATTGTATTTTTTTTTCATTGACAATTGTTTCGCAACATCACTCGAAATTTAGTCATTCCTCAATAGTTTGTAAATCTGACCCTCCCACAAGCAATACCTATAACACTGTAATAACCGTGAAACATATTCTCTTGAAATGTCCTAAATATCGGAAATTTCGTATTAAAGTTCAAATTAAACCTACGAAAATTTCAACAGTACTAAACGAACATATCAAGTTCTCTCTTTCGTTAAATACTCATCGCTAGGTAACAACATTTAATTACTTCACATTTTCAATTCCTAACAGTCGTCGGTAATAAGCATTTAAGTTGTTGATGCGACGTTAAATTTTATACAAAAAAATAATTTGAAACATTGGCCCGCAAGACGCGTAGTTTTCGTGGTAGGTTCACGATGCGTGCACGTTTTCATCTAGGTTACGTATTTTAAACAAATCAGACTTATGAATTCTTAAATAAATGGCACCATTTGGAATGTTTATTTACTCGATATTTCACGCCTTGTTTTTTACTTTATGGTACCGTAACAAATAAAAATGTTGTAATAATGTTTAAAAAATTGTGTGTTCGCGAAATGAATTGCAAAAAATGCCAGATGCATTTTAAAATATATCTAAAAGCATTGTTAAAATTATAAAAACGTTACATGAATTATTCTATGTAAAAAAGTATCTCAAGAAACACTTAACCCTTTGACTGCGGGACGATTTTTGCTGGAAATTCTAAGAGGCGTAGAGGTGTGAATTTTAAAAAAATATCAGCTTATAGGAAATAATAAGACGGCACATGTTTATATTTGCAGTTTATTCATAAGACGTTCAGTTTCAAAAATAAAAATTAAAAACTTAAAAGACCTTTTTCCTGAGACCTCGTCGTAGTCTAATCCTGTTACTGTTGTCTTGAAGAAGAAAACCAACAATCGAATCTTTTTTATATTTACAGTTTATTTATACAACGTTTAGTTTCAGAGATAAAAATTGAAAACTTAGATAGATCTTTTTCCTGAAATTCGATATTTCCAACGAATTTCTAACTTTTCAATTTTCATTTTCGAAACTAAGCATCGTACGAATAAATAATAAATATAAACAAGTTTCGTCTCATTATTTCCTACCAGTTGATATTTTTTAAAAATCGATTTAACGAATATAAACATTTCTCTGAGCCCATTTCTCGAGAGCGTACGTATACGTCGTTCGCAGTCAAAGGGTTAATACTCGGCCTCCTAATATGGTTTCTCCCCTTATAGATAGCAACAATCGCTTATGCATGCAACATTCGCGTACTAAGCTCGTATTAAATAACGACGAAACGAAACGTGACATACCTGGTTGCGTTGCCACTCACATGGCCGCAATAACGTCCCGTTCTGTCCTCGAGATCCTCGATGCCATCAGAGAATTGAATGTAAGCACCCTCGCATCTGGTTTCTTTCAGAAAACCGACTTGTAGCTCCCTGACTTTCAACTCGATTACCTGCGTCGGATTAAATTTACTTGATATTTTGCAGTATTCTCCACGTGGAAAATATTCCCGACAAATCATTGAAGGGAAATTTACATATGTTGGGTATTTCGTGGTTTGGAATTCTAACCAAAGCTCAGAATATTTCTCAATGATATTTGGGTATTATTCGAGACGTAAAGATTTAGTTACATAAAATTGATGAAAATTGAATATTTTATGTAGATGTTTCTCAAGCTTCACCTTTTCTATAGCGTAGAATTAATTTATTTTAGTAAAACATGATTTAATATTTTCAGAACTCCAATCCAATTTAAATGATTGCATAATATTCGATTAAAACTTGTTAAACGTTCATTAGTCAAACAATACATAAAAATGAATATGAAAACAATCAGTGTATAATACTTGCACGTGTCTGAAATTTTTAATACTATTTGGTAATTCTATAATGTAATTCTTAATGAAATTCTTTATTATTGAATAGATTTAAAAAATACTTACTATTCGAGTTTCAAAGAAAATTCTCTAACAATTTTAATTATAAGATTTCATACTTTTCAGCTGAAACTTGTACGTACAAAAACAAATATGAATCAAATTAGCTTATTTGCATGTGTCTGTTTGAGAGATTTTAATACTACTTGATATTCACGTCATTTATTTTTTAATAATATTCACCGTACTATCTTGTATTACTTTCAACATAAACAGTGAATCAAAAGTGACGAATAATGAATATGAAATTTCAGTTGCCTCAAAGTTTGTAATTCTTAGTCTCGCTTTTCATGCTTCGACTATTGAAGACAAGTATTTTTAACGAGTGTTCCTAATACGTATAAAATACTGCGATAACCATTTTAAAAATTTTACAATATAATATGCTCTATTTTTTTAATGAAAAGCTTCAGAAATTTCCTGACCACATTTTGAGAAACACTGTTTATATAAAATATTTGTTAATCATATAAAAAATTGTGGAAATACTTAGAAAATCTTAATATTATACAAAAGTTAATGTAAATCCTTAATTGTATAATATCATATTTATAAACATTTTGAAACTACTAAACAAGCAACGAAAATGTTTCTTTTATTATGCAAAGCTAATTTGTTACTTCAACGATGATATAAACATATAACCAAAATTCTTTAGTCTGTTATGTCGAACTAGTATTGTCTCATCTTAAGTCTATTAATTCAAGTTTAACGATTTGGATTATTTCTGTTGGGACTACTTTACCAAGAAGAATTTTAACAATTTCTGTCGAATGATAAAAGAACTTTTCTTAACCTGTGGATCTCTAGGAGGTGCCCTGATCCGAACGATGCACCGGCCCATCCGACCAGTCCATCGTATTCGTCCAACAGAATTCCTGAGAGTACGATTGCATACTGTAATAAAAGAAAGAAAACTCGAGTTTAATTTCATGACACGAGCCTCGTCTAATTAGACAGTAAAATGTTATTATAAAAGCATTCCGTGAATCTGTCCAGTTGTACACGAGACAGTTTGAAAGTAAGAATTATTTTATTTCATCTGAAAACCTTCCAGAGTCTAGCGAATATACAATGTATTTAATTGAACAAAGCCTGCAGGTATGTCACCTGTCGTCGCAGAACTTTTGCAATGAAACGAGATTAATTCGGGGAAATGCAGTGGTAGATTAGTCCGGTTCCGTTTTTAAAACACTAAAATGTTCCAGTACGAAGAGTTATCGTTCGGGTCGGCTTGGTTTTGTCCTCGAGATAAGAAAAGGTTCGAAAAAGGAACTCTAATGGTTTGGGCTTGTCTGGTTCTGTTTTCAAGACAAGAGATTCTAAAGTGAAAAGTAATTGTCTTGTTTTACGAAATATAACTCTAAATTTTGGAAAATTAGAGTAATCGATACTTGACACTTTCATTTCTCACATTTTCAGTACTTTATTTGAAAATGTGAATATCGTTATGTAAAATTGATGAAGAATTAAATATTTTTCGTCGAGGTTTCAGAATGAGAATTATTTTTTGTTATTTACGATAAATGAGATTTTTTTCATGATAATATTAAAATTTATATATCAAATATATTTATCAAATGTTTGGTTCGATTTATGTATCAGTGTTTCATTTTAAAATGTGAATTCTTGTTTATGGGATTCACGAAGAGTTATTAATAAGCTGTGGATGTTTACATGACAAATGGAAATACAGTAGAGACTCTCGTATCCGTAACCCCCATTATCCGATTCCCCTAATTTCTATAATATCTCTATGTTCGAGAGACGTAAAAATAGCACGTTGACTGCCACGCTAACTTTGGTGAAAATTTGTGCGAGGATAAAATTTTCCTTTAAAATAATTGGAAACTACGCAACCTAAGATTTGTCAAAGTACTTGTTATAACCTTGTCAGCATTTAGAAGTCTTATCCAGATTTATTTACTCGTATTTTTAAATTCCTTGTAAAAACTCCTGTCACCCATGTATGGGTGACGAGACGATCAACACGATAGACACGATAAAATAGCGAGAAGTTTACATTTTAGAATTTGGTTTACATTTTACATTTTGGTCAGGTTTCCATCCCGTTTCCTAATTGAACTCAACAAAACGGTTCATTTTTGCGGGAGTATCCCTTTATTATACCGGAGGGTCCCTCCATTATGTTGGAGTAATATGGTCACATTATCATACGTACCCAAAGTTCCATAATTTGAATCTTCCTCGGTCGAGGGATCCTCCGGCATTAATTGAACACAATGTCCGTTAATCCCCGCGTATTTCATCCGGCGTGAAGTCAAAGAAGCAAATCGTTAGAGTGCGAAAAGCCACTGTATCGGCCGCTGGCAGCGTCCGATAGGGCGTAATTCACGCTTATATCGTTACTCGCGCAAACGCTTCCATTGTATGATGCAAGTAATTCCGGCCGTATCGCATCCGCGCCACGAATATTGTTAGGACAATCGTGCAAACAGGGGACTTAACGTTCCGCTCGTCGTTGTAATGCCGTATTAAGCCGCTTGCATGGATTGCACGGCGCATACCGAGACGACGGATCGAGGCGGGACATCAAAAATAAGTGCGCGTAACAAAGCGGAAACGAGCGTATCGGTGAGACGGCGAGTACCTACTCGAGAAAGTCGAAATACGCGACACTCGTTGTTTAACACCCTCGGTCGCGATTCATACATTTTTTTATGAACCATTCCAAAGAAATTGAATATTTTTGTCCTTTGAGACGGTGAGTGGCAATTTGCTTTGCTTGCTGTCTAGTGTAAAATGTTAGGTTGGTCCATAACATTATGAGGATTACTCGTACGATATGTTTTATTAAACATTTTTCTATTTAAAACGATTGTCAAACGATTAACGAAAGCGTCAAAGAAATATCGTTTTATTTTTTGTATTAAAGATACGTTGGTCCATAATTTCATGCTGCTTTAATTTTATATCGTATGTATTTTGTAATAATTGTGAATATGTGTTATGTCAGCTGTTATTGCTACTCAAAAATCATAGAATTGAATTTCTACATTATTCGATATGACTCTATTCATTAAATAAAATGGTTAATTAATATCGTAAAACTTTCCAGAATTTTATGTGTACTTTTATAAATAATATTATTCAAACTTGTAAGTACCTCATTGCTAAATGAATCTATTTCATAGAATTGTACAATTATACTATTATGCAATACAATAGAGTCGATAGATAGATAATTTATTCCTTGTAATTTTTTACTTAAGGAAGAACTTGTGCTTACATTACATCATTCACAAATCGCATTTTCCGTCTCTTTGCTCACTCTTTCTTTCAACACGTTCCTCACCCACTCCACCCCTTCGCCTTCATCCCCAAGAACCATTTCCAAGCTTTTATCCGTTCGTAGTGACTCCCTGCAATCGTTCATCAAATGAAACATACTTTCTTTTTCTATTTCGCACACTCTGCATAAATTCTTTTCCTGATCCAACCAGAACTTATTCGCCGCTTCCTCATTTCCGCACTTAAATCTTGCAATCATCGTTATTTCCTTAATCTTCACTTCTTTCCTCTGGTATTTTAGTAGCTCCAAAGTCCAGATCCTCTTTTAATTTCCACAAAACCTCGAGTTTTGTATTTTAGTGTATCTTTCCTGATCTTGTACTTTCTTCTCTTTATTAGTTAGTTCTTCAATCCTTCGTCCCTTTTTCTCCTAACTTCACCCTCTTGACAGTCCATTTCTTTCGTAAATTCTTTTTTCTTTCCCACATCCCCTCTTTTTCAGTTTTCATGCATTTAACTTCTCTCAAGCACGCCGCAGCTATTTTATTTTCTGAGATCCTTACTCTGTCTTCATATTTCGTTGCTCTCTTTCCGATATCTTTTCGTATTAAGTCTCATTTCCCTTCTTCTCTTATTATTAGACCGCGGATCTTTATGCAAAATAAAATGTTCACGAACGTGCCTACAAAAATTTAACCTAAATAGGAATTTATTTTATTCTGCAAATATTATAACGTGAACTTTACTTTTAATCTTTTTTATATTCTTGCATATTGTTTGCATTTTGTAGGTTCTTGCCCTATAAATGCATAAAGATCCGCAGTCTACCTATTATATATTCCGGGGTGTGTCTGTTCAGATCTAAAGTCCATCTCAGATATTTATTTTGGAGTTTTTCTACTCCTCCATATTCCTCCCAGCATCACACCTCCGCTCCATAGATAACTATACGGTTAACCAGGGTGTAAAACATTTTCGTCCTCCTCGCAAAATCTTCTCCAAATTCCTTGACCAATTCTCTCGACTTGTGCCATCGCAATTATCGCTTTTTTTTTTCTTTCTTTTGTTATGTGCCTATCTGTCTTATCATTCTTCTGAAATAGAAAGCCCAGACGTCTAAATTCTTTGACCTCCTCTATGGCTACTCCTTTAAAGTACAATATTTGTACAAATTGTATAATTAACTTATTACAGTTACATAATTAATTCAGTAAATAGGTCACAGTGAAAAAATATAATCTGTAAGAAATGACAACAAAGTTTAAAAGATACATCGGTTTCGATAAAAGCGCCTGAATGATAATGTATACAAAATTCTAACTTTTATTCAATCGATTAAATTTTATTTATTTTTAAATCCAACATTGATTCCTCTCTGTTACAGCGTATAAATACTTAGACCTGAGAGTAGAACTCGATGACGGTCATGCGATAACGTTGAACAGACCTCGCGTTTAATTGCTGATATTGTTACTTGAGCGGGTCGTTAATTAAACGATTTCTAGTACCCCGTGTTCATTTCATACGCGGCCTTAATCGTGGTCACCAATCCCGCGCGTGCTATATTTCTCCGCATGCCGGAATAATCCGACTATTTTCCAGCCAGCACCCTATGGACGAGCCCTAATATTCGTGAATGTCGTTCGATCCTGATACGCGATTATAGCGTGTCCCCTCGTTAATGAGATTCTCGTCGGGGAAACGTTCGAAGCTCGGCTAAAAACTTGCGAGCGAGCACGTCGTCGGCTTTAACCATTTCGAATATCGTAGCTGGCTGTTTTCAGTGAAATACGGACATCTCGCTGAATTTTAGGAAAATTAAACGAAATTTAAACGATACTTTTGAAAGTTTTCAACATGTTCACAGTTAGGGAGATCGACTGAAAGGATACCCTGTGGTTAAATAATTTAATTAGTTATAAACGACAGATTAGAAGGTAAAAGTGTTAGGGATGGAATTTGGATTTCTCAAAGGATGCTAGGAAAATTAAAAACGGTCATTCGAACTTTTTAAGTGGCATTTTTAGAACCTTCAGCGTTATTCGATCAATTGATCAATTACTTGTTTTGATACGAGTTACGGTTATTTTGAATGTTATAATATGACGATAATAATAATAGTAATAGAATGTACTGATAAAATTGCAAATAAAAGATGATTGGCAGTTGCTTGTTGTGGCAGCAGTCATCAACAGCTTGTCAGTGATTGCTTTTGAGACCTAGAAACGAAATTACAAAGCATCTATACGACATATAAAATATAGATTATTATATTTTTGTTAGAAACTTAATAAGTACGTGTCGCAACGTTAAGAATATTTCGTAACCATGAATTGAAGAGAAATAATTTCTTGTGGAAAAGCTCGATACACTAGAGACTTTTAATTAATCTCTTTAGAAGAGATTGCGTGAAAAAATATTATTAGTTATTATTTGATTGCTTCGTTATCAGTATTAATGAATTATACCAACGATGTTTATATAATAATATTGCGAATATTATTATTACTATTAATTTACCTAAAATTTCGTTCATCCCTTGCATTACTACGAAGAGTATAACGGATTATACAGTTGTAGATTGTTTCATGTTTGAGGGCTCGAGAAAGGGACGCTTTCAAGTGATATTTCCAAGCATAGACGCA